GCAAATAAAGCATCCAACGCAGATTTAAGACTTATAGCAGATGTATCCATGACATGAACAATGCCAACAAATCTTTCTTGAACAACTCCGACTTTGTCAACAAACCTCAAAACCACGGCCATTTGTTCTTTTCTWGAGACATCACTAGACTCATCCACCAACAAAGCAAATACATCATCATCAATTTCCCCAATAACGTCTTTCAACACCTCTTCTCCAAAGCAAGTAACGAGATCTTTTTGAATCTTTGGAGATGTCAATTGATTGTTCTTCGGGGCATTTTGTAATATAACCTTTTCAATCTCCCCATTTGTTCTTCCGATTAACTTTAAAGTCCCCAAGAAAAGCCCTTTGTACATAGACTTTTCCGACTCATCATTGCCACGAAATGGTAAAGCATTCTCCAACAAATATCTAYAAACTTCAACGGAAGCATTCAATCGCATGTGGTACTTGGTCTTTTGGAGTTCTGTTTGTTTACGAAGGGCAACTGCAATTGATTGGTTTTGGTTAACCAAATCTTCGCATTTTTTAAGTGCTTTATGGTGAAAACTATTAACCTCACCCTCATGAAGCGTAAGTCTATCTTTCTTACTCCAACTATTAAATCCGTCCGCCACAAATGCATCTATCCCATGATTCCCACCTTGGTCTCTGAACAAGTAACAAGGCAAACAATATGCTCTATCTACTTTTACACTATATTCCAACCACTGAAATTGATCAAACCAAGTAACAACAAACCGTCGCCCTTTAKCCCMTATAACTTTGGTTGGAAAGATGTGACCTCGTGGTTGACAAGGACCCCTTACCAAGTATTTCCGTCTAATTTCGTCTCTTTGATTTGGATTATAACTTATAATTTTGGGTCTCTCTGATGGATCCCAAGGAAGTTTGTTAATATCAATCACATTGTTGGAATTGGATGCATCATTATTACCGGTTGATGATGCAGCTTTTCGCTTCAAATACTTTTCCATAATGAATGAGAATCGTAGATCTAAGTAATAAAAACAATGATAAGTAATCAGTAATGACATTGAGTGATTGAGACAATTAGTAAATTTAATCAACATATGAATTATGAAAATTGAAAACTAAAGCAGTGAAGCAGTGAACGCTTGAAGCAGTGAACTAGTGAAGCCTCAATGCCTCAAATCAAATCAAATGCTCAAGCCTCAAATCGAATCGATTCTTCTTGGTGGTGGCCCTCCCTGTTTGTCGCCTGTCGGTCGCTGCCTCGCTGGTCGCTCACTCGCTCGTTCGTTCGCGCTCGTAAGTCGTAAGCTCGTTCACTCACTCTCGTCTCGTCTGTCTGGCAGGTCACCTGCACGGCTGCACAAAAAGTTGGGCTTAATCTGTTAATCATAAGAAAAGCCCAAGAGGAGGAATGGAGGAGGTAATAGTTTGTATATTTGATTTGGGCTTAATCATATAATTGAGCTTTGCATTTTATTAATGTTAATAAATTAATTGGACTTTGCATTTTATTAAGTTAGACAATTGGGCTTKATTTTGTTTGGGTTTTAAATTTTAATTGCTATGTTTGAATACGGTAGCACCTTTCAAAATAATACGGTAGCACCTTCCAAAATAATACGGTAGCACCGTTGAGAAACCTAAAAATTTTTACCCTTCGGAGGCGAAATAATACGGTGGCACGTGCCACCGGTTGCTCCCATACAGGTCCGCCCCTGATACAAATATGTATGCATTATGTAAATGAAGGTAAATAATAAGTAAAAGGGTAGATAAAAAACAAGGCGAATAGTCATGTGCAAAGGAAGTTATGGTGAGAAACGTAAGAAAAGATCTGAATTCTTAATCACTTTTAATCTTATGTACATCCATAAATTGCGCTTTAGAAGGGAATTGATCTTGTGCATTTCGGTGCACATCATTAGTGTTGACATTCAATTAAAATTGATCCAAGAATGAGAATCTCTTATTACGCTTCTTACTATAACTTCCATTCTCACCGAAACCAACTCATATATGAAAAACCAATATTAGAGTATATAATTTAGTGATTTGTTGTACCCGTGGAAAAATAGATATGCAAACATACCTTTGGCACACCCAAGTCTTACTTGTAACACTTGTATATTCACTTAACATTTGTCCTGATCTTGCTAAAACAAGTTTAGACATATGTTACATATGGTTAAGAATCATGTGAGAAGAGAAGTTATAATAAGAAGCGTAAAAAGATATCTGAACCATCGATCAATTTTCCCTTCAAATTTATCAAAATAGCCATAGGCCCGGAAAACCCACGTTTGTAATTGTGGACCCAACTAAAAGATTAAAAAAATTACACTTTCTACCCCCTGTCTGCAAAAAGAAATTACATTTTCCACTCGGGTCCGTTAAAAAATCTACATTTTTCATCCAGTTTCGAAAAAAAAACTGCGGACCTAAGATTATTTTGGTAAATCTTGGAGAGATTTGACTAAAAAGTGAAACCAACCGATAAAAATGATTATTTTAATTAATTTCCCTAAAATATTTCATACATTTAATTAAATATTATTTATGTCATAAACATTTCATTTCAAAGTTACTTATTGGTGGAATATAAAATAACTATTTCACTCTCATGGTAATAATTATTTTGAGAGAGAGAGCTCCGAATTTGGAAAAATTTACCCCCCCCCCTCTCTCTCCTACTTTATCCATTTTAGAGAATCTGATGGAACAAAAAATCATCCAAAATCCTCATTTTTCTCCATTTCGGAGATATGTTGAAGATGCTCTAATAACCCATCTCTTGTGGATAGAAAATGAGATTTATGAGTTTTTTATAAGCCTCAAATTGTAAGCTATCAATAACTTCTACTATAATTTTAAATTAAATTATAAATTATTAGCTCAGTCTATTGCTTTGAATTTAGTACGTTACACTATCTGTGAGATTTAGGGGCTGTTTGGATCATGAGAATTGAAAGGAATTGGAATGTTCAATTCTTTGACCAAATTCCAAATAAAGTGTTTGGTTCATGAAATAAGATTATTGAATCCTTTCAATTCCAGTCGATTCCTTCACGCACATATTTTACAATTTCATGGCAATATGCTAGGATTTCAATTCATTTCCTACAGATTCCTTCCCTAATCCAATTCCATGCAACCAAACGCAATCACAAGGCATGGTCAAATTCCATCAGATTTCATTCTATTCACTAAAAGTCAAATTCATTTGATGAATTCCAATTTCATCGAATTCCATTCTATGAACCAAACGCTCCCTTATAGTTTGAATCAAGATTGTTTTCCATTGTAACTATGCTTATTTGGTTACACATTTTCAAATTTGGTCTATAAATGTAATATACTTGTTAAAAAAGTTATATAGTTAATATTTTAAGTATTTTGATTACTGATATATGTACGAGTGAACTGGCTTTTGATTATTATAATTGTTACTTCGTCTAATAAATTACATCAAAATGAATTTAATTTCTTTTACGATAAAATTTATTTATTTTGGTGCGTTTAAACCGAAAATAAGTGTTGTATTTATATATTAATGTTACATTGTCTTCCATTTTTTTTAAAAGATTATTTAAATAAATTACCTGATTTTTAGATTTTTCTAAATTTTAATAGTTACTTGAAAATTATTTTTAAAGAAATGATATTATTATAGTAAGATTATCCAGAGACAACAATATTTAAACCTAGTGGGTAGGCTTGTCGGGTTTGGGTCCCATTTAAGCAGTAATTCGGATGTATTTGATTCCGATTGTCAGTTGGAATGTCATTTTAAGTTGGATCGGACCCTTTATTAATCACAGGTGACCCACCCGTTTGGTTCATTTTGAAAGAAAGGTTTTAAGGAATTTATTATAAGAAAAAATTTGTCCAAAATACTGAAAGTATCTTTTTTTTATATTTAAAAGAATCTGTTGAAAATGCTCATATATACATATTTAAAAGGAAAAGTAAAAAAAAAAAACACCTAACGACTTTTCCGATTAACGTATTGTTAAGCGAGGGGCATTTTAGTATTTTCCGTTTTGATTTTATTAAGACAAAATAATGTACAAGTCTTTAAGTCATGTACAAATCCTTAAAGCACTAAAAATGAAAAATAAAATAAAAATAAAACCCAACCCCTGCACCGGCTTATGACCACCACCCACTTATTCGAAGCTACCCCCCTTCTTCGATCACCTTCAGAGATCAGTAGGCCACCATTTACCCAAATCCAAACACGTCTAAATTTAAACTCTGAATCATCATATAGAACTCTGGATGCAAAACATGGACATTAAGATCTTTTTTTTCAGCTCTTAATGATCATTTATGTCTGATTCGTTTAGACGTTTTATAATTTAGACTGTTTATTTTTTATTATTATTTTCAGAGTCTTTCATCACTTGATAGAGTCTGAATAAATAAGAGGTAAACTAATATCTTAATTTTTTTTTTTTTTCCTTTGATTATCTTTGGCTATTGCTTCCTTCTCCACTAGTATGTCACCGTTATTTCATTACCCCATGTAAAATGCACGCTCCCACCTTTTCCCTCCCTCCCCCCCTCTCTCTCTCTCTCTCTCTCTCTCTCTCTAATATATATATATATATATATATAATTTTTGTACATATAAGTCAACTTAGAAGATTAATGTGAAACAAGAACACTTTCATCGGCAATCTATCATCTATCAAAAGTATCTATCTTTTCGTAAACAAACTCACCAACGGCATTCCCGATAGCATCAGAAGTCTAAAAGGTATCCAAAAGGTTTTTACTGTGTTCCATCTATCAAGCAATTGTTGAGATGATTTTCGGCAATGAAAATTTTGTAACTTTGAAGATATTTTGTTTGAAAATGATGCTTCAACTTTGAGTCGTCGAAATAAAGATGGTATCTGAAAGTGAAAAGTCTAATAAACTCCAGATGCTTTTGTAAACTCCAAACCCTATCAAGAAGCTAAAGCCTTTTATAAGTGGGGTTCAACATTTATGTAGGGTCCATCATTTTATTTTATAAACTAATAATTTTTTTCTTATTAATCAATATTAAAAAATCTATAAATTTAATTATTTAAAAAAATATATCCATTGGTTTAATTATTCAGAACTGGAATTCTCTCGAACTTTTCTTTTTTTACATTTTTACCTACTTTAAAATTATAAATTAAAAAACTTTTATATTTTAACTATTATTTTATTTATAGAGTATATTATAATTTTTGGTCCTTGTAGTTGTTACTTACTATTGAGTTTGGTCCCTGTTTTAAATTAATTATAATTTTGATGATTGTGATTGTTATTTTGTTTCACTTTTAGTCTATCCCACTAACTTTAGTTATAAAGATTAGTTAACTTTTTTTCTTTCACTTTTGCCATTTTGTTTCATTTTTATTAGACATATAGGAAATTACAATTTTCGTCCATGTGGTTTGTCTTTTTTTCCATTTTTGTCTTTTCTATTGTTTCATTTTTCAGTTTATACCTTTTATTAATTAGTTAATGATGATATTATCTAAAATGCATAATAAATATTTTATTTTGTAAATTACATTATTAGAAAGTCTTGTACGTTTTTTAAATAAGTTTGAGTTTATAAAATGTATCATTTTTTTTATTTATGTTAGACGAAATCAAAATTTAACTATGTCTATTAATAAAAACAATATATCATTTTCAGATGTTTTATTTAATTAAATATTTTTAAATGTATATCAAAAAAAAACTTTATAATATAATTATTTAATTTTATTTCAAGATATCACCTAAAAATTATTGTTATGAAAAATAAACAACCAATTAACAACTATAGATTTTTGTTGTTTTATACTAAAAAACGTTTGTAGGCATTTCTTTACAAAATAAAACACGTATTATGCATTTTTAGTTAATATTATCATTAATTAATTAATTAAGGAATATAATGAAAAATAAAATGATAGCAACTACAAAAATGAATAATAAAAAATGAAAAACAAACCACATGGATGAAAATTGTAAT